ATAAATGTTGAACAGGAGAGGCGAGAGGACCGACCCCTGTGGTACCCCACAAGTGAGGCGCCTCGAGGTTGACCTCTGCCCCCCTGCCAACACAAATTGCGTCCGGTCCGAGAGGTAGGAGGAGAACCACCGTAAAACGGTGCCCCCCAACCCCCCTAACCGGTGCAACAAGATACCATGGTCGATGGTATCAAAAGCCACTGAGAGGTCTAACAGGACCAGGATAGAGGAACAGCCTCTATCCCGAGCCCTCCAGAGATCATCAACCAACGTGACCAATGCCGTTTCCGTGCTGTGCCCAGGCCGGAAGCCGGACTGGCGCGAGTCTAGATAGACAGTTTCCATCCATTTTTTCTTGTCCTGCCTTCTGGTGCTTTGGAAAATAAGTTGATCCCCTTCTTGTTTGTGGCAGCCCCTCAAATACTGGATTACTGCTCTCATGTCACCCCTAGTCCTTCTGTTCTCTAGATTGGCCATACCCAAATCCTACAACTGTTCTTCATATGTTTTAGTCTCCAAGCCTTTAATCATCTTAGTTGCTCTTCTCTGCACCTTTTTCACAGTCTCAACATCTTTTTTGTAGTGCGGTGACCAAAACTGTATGCAGTATTCCAGGTGTGGTGTTACTGAGGTTTTATAAAGTGGTACTAATATTTCATGTGACTTTGATTCTGGAAACATGTTTTTAAGAAGATAGATAATTTCCCTAGCTAGCTAATATTGTTTCCTCTAATTGGCTTCCATAGTCTCACAAGATAGGCACTAAGCCTGCACAGAGTTAATATTATATTTTTTTAAGCTGAGGCAAAATGACTACTAATCTCAGAAACTCTAAACACAAATTTCTGCTTGATAATATTTGAAGTCCTTTTCAACAATTATTATAATATAAGAGAATCAACTTTGCATGTGCAGGACCATAATTAATATATCATTGCTCTCTCCCCATCTTTTCCGCCTGCCTATTGCCCATCTTGAGCTATCCAGTCCTGGAGTCAATTTTTCACCATCTCATACCCACTTTTGGATTGGTTTTAATTCGCTACTCACGAGACAGAGCTGTCCTTTGAGAGCTTTGATCCTGGAACTGTATGAGTTGGCCAGGGCCTTGAGGTAGAGCATGAAGACGCTTGAAGAAAGGATGGAGACAGAGAGAGAGAGAGAAAAAAAAATAATAATTATAATATTACTCCAGATGGTACAATCCTTAGGATGTGAGACTCCTTTTCTTCCCATGCCCCATTCTCCAGACTCCTGTAGAAGCCACAATTCCTCACCTCAGAAGCAGAAACAAGGGCGCAGAAAAGGCGACTGAGCCCACAAATCTCAAGAAGTTTTGGGCACCAGCAGGTAACTCTGACACAGCCTTGCTGACCACATTCCACATGGTGGATTGATTACGGAACGGGCCACATGCTTTTGAAGGCGGCAGTCTGTAGGGAAAATAGGGAGTGAGATGGTAGCTGGCAGGGAATGGAATTAAAAACATTTTTTATTTACTTAAATATAATATTCTTGCTCACTTTGCTCACTCATCAAAGCATAACATGGTTTGCTTGTTTTTGAATCAAAAGAGTTCTGTGAATAGCAATAGCTCTTAGACGTATATACTGCACCACAATGCTTTACAACCCTCTCTAAGAGGTTTACAAATATTGCACCCAACAATCTGGGTTCTCATTTTACCGACCTCGAAAGGATGGAAAGCTGAGTCAACCTTGAACCGGGGAGAATCAAACTGCTGGCAGTCGGCAGAATTAGCCTATAATACTGCATTCTAATCACTGTGCCACCATGGCACATTGGTTATTGGTGTGTAAACCATAGCTTAAGGTTTACTCTTTGCCTAAAGGTAGCCAAATCGGGTTTATTGTGTAAACTATAATTGAGCAACATTGGCTTAGCAACACTTTTAATATTTTACTTTTACAGACGCTGCCAACGTTGTTACACTGTGGAGTATATAGATTTCATATGATGTCCCAAGATGAAAATCAACAAAAATATTTATTGGAGCTTGCTCCCTGTTAAGATTATAGGGCACTCTAATACTTACACGAATATGCTATATAGGGCTGGGACACAGGATATCATGAGTCCCAGGAGCAGAATTAAAAGAAAAAAAGAGTTGGAGCTTGAAGCACGAAACGTGCGTTCAGCTGGACGGCAGTTGGTATAAAGGGTGAGCTAGAAGAAGGGAGAAAAAAAACCAATCAAAACTCTAGAGCAGCATTTCTCAAACTCAGCAACTTTACAATGTGTGGGCTTCACCATCCCAATTCTGGGGAATTCTGGGAGATGAAGTCCCTCTATCTTAAAAGTTGTTGAGGTTGAGAAACACTGCACTGGAGTCTGGGATCATGTCCATTTTTTGTTGAAAATGTTTCCAATTTCTTAGAAATCATTTGCTGTCATTTTCTTCACTATTTTCATAAAACTGGGACTGGATCAAAATTATTTTATATTTACATTTTTAGAAATGTATGCTCAAAATGGTTTTTAAAATTGTTCTTGTTTTCCTTTTAAGCCATTTTTCAAATGCCCATGAGATAGATCCTTGCAATGAAGGTGCTCCATCTTGGTATTCTGTTATTTTTAGCTATTTGTGGACATGGGTCTGTGACAGTGCTTCTCAACCTTGCCAGCTTGACGATGTGTGGCCCTCAACTCCCAGAACTGAGGGTGGGAACATAGGATGAAGGCAGGGAAAAGAGAGATATATTCAAGACTTGCTAAATGGATAGCCCCTCATGACTTGCTAAATGGATAGCCCCTCATGGTAGACCAGGCAAGAACACCAAAGTTATGAATGCTAATTCCACTTTTATTATAAGATTACAGTAGAATCTTGCATGTCTGAATGTGCCTCTCCTCTTCCTGCTTTTACCCTAAGAACTACAAGGGAACGACAAGAGACATTTCAAATTACATTTCTGTCCCACGCTCTTGTTTCTCTTATCTGACTATTGTCTTGGCTGTGGCTCTTCCTCCTGTTCCTCAAGATTATTCTCACAACACATTATAATTTCTTTAAGCTTTCAATCCAGCAATCCCATCAACACTTGCCCCAAGTCTCTATCAACAAACAAAGGTTTCCTTGAAGACAGAAAACAATTTGAAAGCCACTATTCTGGATTTTCCCATAGTAATCAACCAAGACCCCATCCATTGCCCCTTCTCTGCTCCCCCTTGTAATTACACTTAGGAGTTGTTGTAGAATCACCTTTTTCAGGTAGAAGACAGCAGTATATTTGATGGTATTGAGCACTGGCAGAAGAGGGCAGAAAAGGGCTCCAGTCCAGCATAAGGTTTGCCCATATACCAAGTCCAAAATGTTGTCAGGCACCACAAACTCCTGTTCTCCCCACCATTTGATTAAGAGGCAGGAGGGCCAGTATGTCACCAGCATCCTAGAAAAGGAAAGAAAGGGAGAGAAAGTACGGATTTTGTGGCGACTCCTGACTTTCATGTGAAGTCCCGACTTAGCCACATGTTGTTCCAGCCATTCACTTTTTCCTTTATACCAGGTAGTCCTCGACTTACAACCTACATGGACCAAGGGAGTTGTTCCGATGGTTGTGCCCCATCCAGCAGTCACATGACTACACAGTCAGCAATAGGGTCCCATGAAGGGTCCCAGGCTTAAGGAAAGTAACCAAACTATGGATGGTCCTCTAACTTTGACCATAATGGAGCCTGCCTCTTACGGTCACAAATTATGAAGGTTGTAAAACAGTCACTTGTGATTAACCCAATTTTATTTCCTTTTTTTGTAGAGATCATTAAACGAAGGTTGCAGTCACGGGCCGGTTTTGTTGAAAACCGAAAGCAAATGCAGACTTTGGGCAAGAAAATGTCATCACAGGACGCTGCAAACAGCCATAAATGCAGGCTGGTTGCCAAGCACCCCAAATGCAATCATGTGACCACAGGGTTTCCAGTTGTTGTAATGTCAGAACCAGATCACAAAGACCCCTGGAGTGGTCTTTGGTAACTTCAAACAGCTGCTAAACGACTGGTGACAAGTTGAGGACCACCTGCAATCATCCCCTCCACCATCAACAGACATGACAGAACTTAATGACTTACTTTCTGGGAAACTCCACCAACAGTATCACAAGCAGTGTGATCACCAAGTCAAAGATCATCAGCTTGTACATTTCCTGCCCCACCGAAGTCTCCCAGCACTGGAGGGACAGATAAGATTTTTCAGTTTCTTCCTATACCAAATTGCCCATAAAAATTTGCATTCCTCATTTGCCCATATTCTAGAGAGCTATAACTCTTTCAAATAACCCAGGAATTAATTTCAAATTAAATTTTAGTTCTTGTTAGGAGAATGAAGGAACCTGTGTTCCATCTGTTCATTCATTTTGGATTTAGGATTAGGATTAGGATTAAATTATGGGGCAGGTTTAGAGTTAGGGTTAGGATTAAGATTAGATTTGTTTGGCCTAGATTTTGTGTTATTGTAAAGTAACCTGGCTGCAGCCCAGAAGCCACTGAAACCAACGGGGCTCAAATTAGTCATACCTAAACATATTTAAATGTGTAATTTAACTTCCATTAATTACAACAGCTGTATTCCAAATACACGCAGATATGGCTACAAGCATGCAACTGCTGTGTTTCATTTTCTGAATTTTAGGAAATGAGACTCTAGATCAGGGGTTCTCAACCTTGGCAACTTTACGATGTGTGGACTTCAACTCCCAGAATTCTCCAGCTAGCATTGCTAGCTGGAGAATTTTGGGAGTTGAAGTCCACACATCGTAAAGTTGCCAAGGTTGAGAAACACTGCTCTAGATACACCATCCTACTTTTTGTAATCCCTCCACATAGATCTTTCCAATCTTTTTTCCCACAGGAAATCTTTTGAGAAAAATATTAAATAGCAAAATAGTTTGTTTTGACTGGGAATTCTAGACAGTTCTACCTCCTGCATAAAACCACTATTTCCCTTACCGGGTGAAGACGGTTATTATAACCACAGTAACGGCACTTGGAATTCTGTGGGTCCCCATTACAGGTGATCTGCCCCCACAGTGTAACAAGGACCACAATTAGGCTAGCAAAACGCAGGACGACATTCCTGTCAAAAGAAAAGGTACCTGTCAGGTTGCCTAATAACCAAGATAGAAGGGGGATGAAAATCACGTGAGCTGCTCTTGGTCTGTTAAGAGCAGCTGGATCTGTAGAAATCCACAAAGGGTGCGGTTGGAAATATAGTAATAATAATAATAATAATAATAATAATAATAATAATAATAATAATAATAATATAAAGTTGGAAGGGACCTTGGAGATCATCAAGTCCAACCCCGTGCTCAGGCAGGTAACCCTATACCATTTCGTACAAATGGCTGTCCAGTTTCTTCTTAAAAACTTCCACTGAATAGTTATGGAAATAGACATAGTTTAATATTTGCACCTCAACCTGCATCAAAAGGTACAAATTAGAACAACCGATGGAAGATGTCAACCATATACATCACATCCCTGGACCCAGTTCTCAGACTCTCCACAATGTGCAAAGTGGAAAATATTGATTAGATATGCTCTCTAACTTCTAAATTCCAGGGTCCTTCAAAACTGCAGGATGCACTGCTCTAAAAAGCAACTGTTTACTTAACATCACACTTAATCTATAAATAATAAATAAATAGCAAATAATAACACCCACAGCTACTACAATAGACTTCTAGTGCTCACACAATGCTAAGATTCCATACTTCCAAGCGGTCTGCAGAGCAACCTCCATGGCCACCACACAACAGTGTGTCTTCTCTGAAGCCAAAGGACTACCATATACTTAATCTAGTCCAGTCTATTTATAACCTACAACTAGAGAACCACCAGTGCCCTTCAAAATATTGCTTAATCACAAGTCCCAGATGTCCTCAACCCAACAATAGTATTGATCAGGGATGCTTAGATTTGTGCTCATTAGCACCTAGAAAACTATTAATCCTTCACCCTGCTAAAGAAGTGAGGATAGATTTCCAACTATTTCCAAAGGGGAATTGATAATAGCATTATGAAAAATAATTCCATTCTGGAACTTCTTAAAACATGATGGATCTGTCTGGTCCTGCCCATCACTCAAAACAGAATGCCCCATCTACCTTGATGGGAAAGGAACTTGCTCCTGTGCATACACTGGCTAAACATGAAGTCAGTTTAAGAAATCTCTTTCCAGATTTTAGTGTCTTCCTTCCTTTTAGCCCCTGACTGGTGGATTCCCCTGTTTCTTTATCCTTCCCATCTTTGCTATGAAAGCAAGCATCAATAGTTTTTCTTTCTCTATGCAGACCCTTGAACTCAAATGGGTTTACCTTGATAGACTTTTTGTATTAGCATTCATCTCCTTGAATCCTTCTTCTACTTGATATCTTCCCATTTGGTATGTCCACAGTAGAACAATTAAAACGTAAAGAAAGCACCAGAGTCTTACTCCCCCCCCCCTCTTTGTAGCAGGGGTCTCCAAACATGGCAACTTTAAAACTTGTGCACTTCAATTCCCAGAATTCCTCAGCCAATATGGTTGGCTGAGAAATTCTGGGATTTGAAGTCCATAAGTCTTAAAGCTGCCACATTTGGAGACCCCTGCTCTACAGTAAAACATACTCAGTTTTTTTATTTATTTTTTGTACCTCAGAAGTGTGATTTTTATTTGAAAGCTGAGTGGGTATTTCTCAAGAGGCACAAGGAACTGAAAGATCATCGGGACAAGGAGGTTGGCAGCCGTGATGACAGCAGAGGGGAGATAAGCCACCAGCAGTTGCAGGAAGTACTGACTTTTCTCAGGAGAGTCCGTCTGTACCAAAAAAACAGAGGAATTTATTTGGGCATGAATGTTATAGAAAGAAAAACATTATTGAATAGGAGCTTTCTTGGCAAATAAGGCCTATGAGATAGAGAACTTTCTTGGCAAATAAGGCCTATGAGATAGAGAACTGGCTTCTTACAGGTTGACTTACAACCATTTCTATTTTGTAACTGATTTCCTGGAAAAGAAGCAAAAAATCCTCCGAAAGTGAGAAGGGAGGGCACCACACCCCCATCCTTCCATAGACAGAAGCAGCGACTTAATTTTTATGGGGGACAGAAAAATATTGAAATTAACGTAATAATACTACAGTCTGGAAAATGTGAAAATCATGAAAATTGTTAAGACTTTACATCTAAAAGAATATTGATAAAACTACAAGAAAATATTTTTTGCTTTAAAAGTTGGAAAATGAATGGCTACTGACACCTAGTGGAAGAGTAGAGCATAGAACAACAGCTGCATAGACACAGAAATTGGCAAGATGCCCAGAAATAAAGAACCCTTCCTTTGAATCTCAGTGGCTTCTCACCATATAGATAACAGCTGGGAACAGAGAAAAGAAAACAAACTGGGCTACCTACTACAGAGTGAGAACTATATTTGTTTTTAAAAAACCTGCTGATCTTCTGGGATTATAAATACTTACTGAGCTGTGATTTCTAAGATCAAGAATTGTTTGCAGAGAAAGAAAAAACTTGATTTTTGGCTAATCTTCTAGGGGGGATTTACTGAAAAGCTTCTAGGTGATTAAACATTCTGGACTCTAAATCTGACTGGCTGATAATTGTAAGACCCCTGAATAGGAGAGCTATTACAAAATATTGTTTTTAACGGTGCTTTGATAATTGGATACGCATTGGATTATAAAAGCCATATATAAAGATGAGAACTATACAAGATTTGGTTGTTTGGACTTTAAGATTGGCTGGTCTGACAAGGCTAATTACAGAGACTATGGTAATGGTGAAAAACTATCTGGAGGGGGGAGACAAAATGGATGTTACATAGCTATCAAAAAGTGGCAAGAAACACACCTAATATTTCCTTCTGAAGGCCCTAGCCTGGAACATCAAAAATCTGCAGGAACAATACTTCAAGACAAAGCAAATATTTTCCAAGAGAAAATGTATGCAATGCTGCGACAGATTCAAATGACAATGGTTTCAAATCACGATGAGATTAAAAACAATTTTGACAACATAAATGAACACATCTTTAACTTAAACCTACAATTAAAAAACTGTCAGAAAACAATGACAAAGAATGAACAGACAAACCAGATAATAGAATACAAACTAGACGACAGGGACCCAAAGAGGGAAGCTATAAATGAAGAGAACCACAGTCTAATACAAACAAAAGAAAACTTGCAAGATCTTCCCACAATGGAAATGGAAAAGATATCTTATTTTTTGAAATTTCAAAATAAACTTGAAGATAGGAAAGAAGATCTAAGAAAATGGATTATAGAACAGCCAGGAAAATTATTAGAGTTTGGGAGACAAAAAAAACGTACATTCTACCTAACTTGTCTTTTCTATTCCCAACAACATTCACAAAAATACAGGAAGAACCCTCTGGCAAGCTGAATACACTGATTTGGAAAACTACTTCGCAAAAGAAGAAAGCTAGAAATGGATTCAAGATATTTGACTCAACCTACCAGATGGAGTACTATATGGTTAAACACTTGTTTGAATATGGTTAAAAGAATAGATAAATCATGGATATAAAGGGTCCCTACAGTAAGAGAGATAAGATATATAAGTAGTATAGTATTCTTTATAATATATGAAATATATTATAATATATGAAATATATTATAAAAATATTGGGATGGTGTATATGAATGGAAAGTTTGGATATTTAAAGGTAATTAACATTGAGAAAACTATAATAAGAATGGTTTGAATATAGAGGGGAAACTAAGCTTAAATAAGAATCTTGAAAACAGGATATATAGTGACTAAATAAGATGACTTTTATGAAAATAATTGAAATATAAGCGGATCAGAAATGATGTTGTATGCTGATGTTACTGTTATTTGTACAAACACAAGAAAAATTGTTATATTCAACCTTGTATATATTGAAAGTATTAAGAACTATATTTGCTTAATATTGATAAAAGGAGAACACTATTGGAAGAAGAGAAGAAATATCATTAATTAACAGATTGATTATGGAATTATAGAAATTAATTATTACTGATTGTTTTTTAAACATATGAACCCAGACAACATGCTGTTTACTAAGCACTAAAGATTGTTATTGTTAAAAATCAATAAAATATTTTTTAAAAAAGAAAATGACAATAAAGATTATCTTATCTTATCATAAGTCCTTAGTCCATAAGGACTCTGCTTGGATTTTCAGCACCATAATTGCTGCTCATACCCAGCCAGAACTGCTTTTGCGATAATCTAAATGCCTCCACCACAATATGGGGGACTGGTCACAAAGGGGTGGAGCCTTAAGTATTGGGGGAAGCACAACCTCTTAAGGGGTAACTGCGGGCCACATACTTACTTTTCCCAGCATCTCCTGGGAATGGCTCACGGACAGGTAAATACAGTAAAAGGAGACTCCCAAAAGCACTAAAACCAAAATGTTGATCAGGCTTCGCAGGACATAGAGCCCAATTCGCTGGGATGTGGTCAACTCTGCTTGGTGCTTGCGGAAACTGGCTTCTTCCAGGTCCATCTGGAAGTGGGGAAGAAGAGATAAGAAGCATCTGAAGCAGCTCAGAACAAAAGACAATCAAAGCAGCTTTGAAAGATAATCTTGAAAGGTTAAACACATACAGAATACATCTTATCCAGCAGTGTACACCCAGATAAGCAAGGATTGACTCCAAACAACAACCAAACGGAAAACAATACCCTGTCAAGGAACTACCAAGGAGAAAAACCACACCTCCACTAAAACTGGCAGGGCATGCCATTGTATATAAAAAAAGAAGCAAACCCCACACACACTCACACCGATGATGTTACCTACTGTAGTTGGATAATGAAATGTCTCCAAGCAAAGAAGCAAGCTCAGAGAGCACCAAGGGCTCCACAAAATTAGCTTTGCCCAAACCCTCATTGGAGGGTTATATTTGCACATTGTACACAGCCATTTGTTTGAGCATAGTTTGTTGGTTTGTGACCTTGACAATGGTTGTTTTTAAAGCCATGTGGGAACCCAGTCAACTGTAGCTTTCCCAGCAAACTAAAAACTGTCATTACTTTTTAAAAAAAACAAAACACTATCTTGATTACATTACCCTGTAATAACATAGCAACCATATGAGAAATTAAAATTCAGTTAGCAATGCTCCAGCTTATCCCTTTGCACCTTCCTGACAAATCAGAAATCCATCACCCTTGGAAAACATCAAGATGAAAAAGGTTCCCTGTGAGATCCCACTTATCATGCAACTGATAAAAGTTGCATCTATTTTGGGGTGGGAGTGGGGGAAGAACAGTTTCATCGATTGTTGAAAATAATCCAAAAGTTTGTTTCCCCCTGTATCCAGATGCAGAACTGGGGGCAAAACTACATCCCAGTCCTGTAGTTTCTTAGCACCATAGAACAGAAGGTGTGTGTGAGAAAGAAATTTGGTTACAGGTAGTCCTCAACTTAAGACCACAATTGAGCCCAAACTTTCTGTTAACAGTTAAGTCTTGTGCCCCATTTTACAACCTTTTCTGCCACAACTGTTAAGTGAATCACAGCAGTTGTTCAATAAATCTGGCTTCTCCCATTATCTTTACTTGTCAGAAGCCAGTTGGGAGGGTTACAAATGGCAATCCCATGATCCAAGGAAGTGCAACTGTCATAAGTACATGCCAGTTGCAAGCATCCAAACTTTGATCAGGTGACCATGGGGATGCTGCGATAGTGTGAAAAACATCAGAAGTCACTTTTTCTGGTGCCATTGTAACTTTGAACAGTCACTAAACAAATGGTTGTAAGTTGAGGACTACGTGTGTCTTACTACCTTTTTCATGGCTAGCTTCTAGCAACAGAGAGAGGTGAAAGGTTGCAGAAGTTGAGAAGACAGCCGTTCTTAGGCTATGAATAAATGTTTGGTAAAATAATTCCCACTAGGAGTTGGGTCTAAGAAAAAAAAAATTCTATTGGAAGTGACATTAATTCAGGATAAATGGCAGCACTTCTTTTTTTTTTCCCTTCTTGCAGGGAAATGGTTGGCCCAACCCATCTGGAGCATGGCACATTAAAGAGGCTGCTTCACATGCCATCAGACATCTGGTCTTAGCATCTGTCCTTACCCGTAGCTCATAGCGGATGCTTTTGTGCTTTAACTGCACCATCTTATCTTGCATCAGGCTGAAATCCCAGCCGGCAAAGATTTTGTTGCTGTACAATGCAAGGGATGTGTCTTCACTAACCAGGCTTTGTTTGAGACAGAGGACTGACCTGAAGATGGATAGAAGACAAGAAATATTTAAACAGGAGTTTCTTGACAGGTGGATCCATCTGGACCAGAGGCCCCCAACCTTTTGGGCACCAGGGACCGGTTCTGTGGAGAAAGCTTTTTCCACGCCCAGAAGGGATGTGGTTTCATGTGCTGCCTGCATCCAGCGGATGGAGCTTCACTTGTTTGCGCGGCCCAGATGCTGGTATGCCGCGGCCCGGTGCTGGTCCATGGACCGAAGGTTGGGGATCCCTGATCAGGACGGCTGCTTATTGTGGGGAAAAACAATTCTTAAATAAACAGAATCAACTAAATTGAGTTGATATATAGAGATATAAGCCCGCAGGCTGTTAATCTTACAAGAACAATTCCAATAGATTAGGTTTGCTCCATATCTCAACATGCCAATGGAAGAAGTTTTCCTTTCTGGTATCTGGCACTCCCAAAATTGCCCCTTTTTCTTGATTTAGGGAAGATACTTTGCTCCATTTTATTATTTTATTCCTGCCTTTTGGTTTCTGAAGGAAAACAGGAAGTGATCTGCAGTCCATTAGCTATATAGGTAGTCCTTGATTTACAATATTGATTTTGTGACCGTTCGAAGCACTGAAAAAATGACTTGTGACCATTTTTCATATGACTGTTGCAACATCCTCATGGTCACAAGATCAAAATTCAGATGCTGGGCAACTGATTCATATTTATGACAGTTGCAATGTCCCAGGGTCATGTGATCACCTTTTGCAACCTTCTGACAACCAAAGTCAATGGCGAAGCCAGATTCACTTAACAACCCTGTTACTAACTTAACAGCTGTAGAGATTCATTTAACAGCTGTGGCAAACCGCACTTAACAACTGCCTCACTTAGCAACACAAATTTTGGGCTCAGTTGTGGTGGAGGATGTCCTGCAGTAACTTGAGATCCCTTAGCTAAAAGTATGTATGCTTACGTCATCTGTTGCTTATGCATTGGTCTCTCTCACCTTTCTGAGATGTATACATATGAGTGCATTCTTTTGTTAGGTGGGGGTCTCTCTCAATATTTTTTAATTTATTTTTATCCTGCCTTTATTATTTACACAAATAACTGAAGATGGAGAACATATCCAACATACCTTCCTCTTCCTATTTTCCCCATAACAACAACAATAATCCTGTGAGGTGGGTTGGGCTGAGAGAGAATGATTGGTGCAAGTTACCTAGCTGACTTTTATGGCTGAGGTAGGACTTGAACTCATGGTCTCCCATTTTTTAGCCTGGAGCCTGAAATACTAGACCAGGGGTAGGCAACCTTGGCTCTTTTATGACTCGTGGACTTCAACTCCCAGAATTCCTGAGCCAGCCATGCTGAGGGAAAAGGGAGAGGTTTTCAAGCTGAGCCATGCTGGCTCAGGAATTCTGGGAGTTGAAGTCCACGGTCATAAAAGCCAAGGTTGCCTATCCCTGCGCTAGACCAAACTGGCTCTCATTCTTGAGAGGGAGTCCCTCTAGTATGTGTTGCTTAATAAATATTGTACTGAACCTTGATTATTTAATTTGGATCCTGCATTTTGATTCCATCTTATAGAGACCGCAACAGCGCTCACCTCTGAACAATCCAGGCCAGGCAGAAGAGCAGGTAGAAAAGCGTTGTGAGGAGATAAGCAAGAGGGATGTCATAGGCAAAGTTGACAAAGCTGGCAGCCATATTTGGATAATAGCCATAAAACAGGTAGGTTTGTTCTATGAATCCCTGGAGGGAAATAAACATCCACGTCACACGTGCTGGTCACTGTAGCTACTTCCCAAGGTACTGGGAATATATCCTTGGGGATATAATTTCTTACCTTGCCTGACAGAAGATCCATAATATAGGAAAAATAGCTGACCAATCCTTGAGGTACGGGATTGTATTTTTGACATAGTGCATTCACTGGAATGAATTAGAGAGTAAGAATTAGCTTTCGTTCCAACATGCAGGCCCTTGATTTTTGCAAGGGTGGGTCACAGCACATAACCTAATCCTGCTCAAAAAATAAAAATAAAATAAAATAAAAAAATATGGACAAAATACCAGACGCTCTTAGCACCATTCCTGGAAAAAATGGGTCCACCTTGCTACTTTCAATGGGAAACGCATGATCTTGGTTGCTGAAATTGCTTTTTCCAACAACTCATCTAAATTCTCCTTCACAGTACATTTGCAGCCTATTCTTCTAACAAGCCTTTTAGTGATGTCATTTAGGTAATGTTAGTCTTTGACCTTAAAGGTTTTAGGATAATTACTCCTTTAGATGTCAATGCACTTCATTTCCTATTTCAAATTGTCTTATAAACCCATCCCAGCTCTTTGAAAAGCAGGGGGTAATTATCTAATTCGCTTCAAAATGTAGTAACTAATGCTTTATTGATTGACTGATCGAAGAATGGATGTTTTAAACATTTGTGTGCTGTTCCTCAAAATTGAGTTTATTTACTTTCAAATGTGGTAAATGTACATTTCTTATTACTTATACAAGAGCACCCAGTGCATCTGCTTTATAGGTCTTCCCTGGCAGCATCACAAATATATTTTATTGATGAGAGCTCAAATGGCAAGCAGAAATTCAATCAGATTCTCTCTCCTTGAAATGTAGTGTGATTAAAGCTATGTCTTATACTGATTAGCCTTTCACAGCTAGTATATATTGGGCAGGGTTGGCCTTCAGGGTTTAGTGACCTTGATGTAGACAACAGATTTCTGACATTTTGCCACAACTGTGGCTGGCATTTTCAGAAGCAAGGTGAAGCTATGCCTGTTCAATTTCTGCCTCCACCTCAAGGCACAATAGAACCATGGGGCTGGAAAATATCTTGAAGTCCAACCCAAAGTAGGAATTCTCAGATCACCCCAGACAAATGGGTGTTTAATCTTTGTTTGAAAACCTCCAGTGATGGACTCCAAGAGATAGGCTATTACACGGCTTAATAACTCTCCCAGTTAGGAAATTCCTCCCTATTTCAAGTTTGCGTTACTCTCTGTAAAGCTTCCACCCATTAGTTCTTGTCCTAGTTCCAGGCATTACATAGAATAAATCTATACCTTCTTCCCTATGATAGCACTTCAAGTACTGGAAGATTTTACGTGTCTTTTCTTAACCTTCTTTCTTTAGACCAACCTCAATTCTTGTAGAAGTTTATCTTAAAATTCAATCTCCAAGACCCTCATTATTTTTGAGAGTATTCCGTGCTTATTTTTCAGCACTGTGGATTGCATCAACAGAGGCATGATGTTGAGATCATAGGAAGTGATTTGACCATTCAATGCTGCACTGGTTGTACCATATCTGGAATACTGACCAGTGCAGAATAAAGTGGAACTATCACATCCCATAATTTTTGGCAGCTGCAGCCCACTGCTGGCTCATCTTTAATCCATGGTCTAGGACACCCAGATCCAGATAACCTATCCCATACCTGTACATCTGATTTTTCCTACCTAAATGCAGGACCTACCATTTTTGCCACCAAACTGAATTTTGTTAGAAAAGGCTTGATTTTCAAGACTATCAAGACCCTTTTGAAACTTGAATCCATCTTCTTAGCTTTGTGCTGAACATCCTTTCTACCATTTGACTAGGTCATTTTTTAAAAAAATGCCGAAGAGCAGTGGACCTTGTAGGGGACATGTTTGATATTGTATTTTTTCAGGATGAGCCATCAAAAGGCCATTCTTGATTGCATTGGCATATTATTAAATCAAATACTATATTGAGGGCTCAGAGCCCATGATCTGGTGCCATGGGTCACTCACTCACCCAAACTACTGTTTGCTTGACTTGTCCAGTTGAGTTGTAGAGCTTCAAAGGCAGCATTTGGAGCAATCATGAATCCCACCACCAGCAAGGAAGCAGCAAAATTCAACAGGACTAAGAAACGCAAGAAGTTGAAATAGGATTGGATCCCTGTTCCAAAATGGCCTTTGGGGACAGAATACAAATAGTCACAAGGCAAGCTCAAACTCCTAAGCCATTGTTCTCTCCAAAATAGTCCTTCAGTGCCTTGCCTGTACCTTCGATGTGGTGCAAAGTGCCTCGCCACAACCCAGCAGAGGAAATGGCTATGCTTGCCTGACTCTGGAGACGGCGCAGGGTTTTCGACTTCTCCCTGCGCCAAAGTTGCCAACCACTGAGCTGCTTGACCGCCTCCTTCTGCAGCATCCTTGAAGCAAAGGATGGTTAAATGAGAAGCTAAGATAACTGCAATTAAATACATTAGTTATAGTGTGTAGCATTGTTTCCTTTTCCTCCCCCCCCCCCCCCCGATTATGTCCAACCCATCAGGTTTTATGAAACCTTCCATCAACATGGAAAAAATCTAATCCACGCTTAAGAGGAATATTCAAAGTAGGGCTCCTAATCGCTTTGAACAAGATATTATTCAATAGGGCTGCATTTCACTTAGAAACAACTGTGCCTTTCCACATAATCTCTCCCTCCCACCCAGCTAGGACTATATCATTGGATCTCTTCCTAAATGTTCTGGATTCCCAACTGCCTTTGTTCTATTCCACAAGAGTCTCAAGAAAAGATGGAGCCCAATTAAGGATGCTTCTCTTGAGTGGGTGCCCTTCAGTCGCAAATCCCGCAATTAGCATTCACTGTGCTCTCTGAGGACATGGAGCAGGGAATGTCATTTTAATTACACACTTTTCAGTGTTCTCCTCCTCAAGAATCTCTCAGCAAGAATCAAGAGATTTGCTACCTGAGCTTGCGTTTCTCCTCCAGGCAGAGAGGCATCTCCTTAAGAAGCCGGCTGTCTTCCCCTTCTTCTTCCAGCAACCCTTCTGGGATCAGTCCATGGGGGTCCTCTATGGGCACCGATACCCCTTCCCAAGCCGCTTCCCAAGCTTCTGCCTTTTTGCCACGAAAACGTAGTGTCTGATTGCTTGGTAGCTGGAGAAAGAGAGATGGGGAGACCTGGTGGCCCCCATCAGACCCTGCCGACAGTGTCCAAAATAAGACATTAGTCCAGAGCAAGTCATCCTGAGCAGTTCATAGGCACCCAGAGAGCTGAATATAAACTACAATTATTTGTTCAAATTTAGATTGATTAAGTATGCACCTATCGGCTGTTCCACCAAGTTTACATGACAAGCAGAATCAACATTTATCTTTATGGTTATTACAGGGCATTCACCATGCTAAGTGGGGCACTTTTTAATTGTTGTATACAGCTATGCTGGCTGGGGGACTCTGGGAGTTGAAGTTTACACATCTTAAAGTTGCCAAGGTTGAGAAAACCTGTTTGTATTTCATAAGTTCCAGATGACTAACCGGCATATAACTTTAATGCTGCCGTAACAAAGAATCCCACACATTCAGCCATCTTGGATCCAATACCAAGGATACTTGTTCTCATCATAATCTAGATAATAGGAATTCAGGACTTTGAGGCTATTTTCCTGCACAGATAAATATTAAGAACTATGAAGAAGGCCATGAGGTAGATCCATTATTTGGCCTGGCAGTATACACTGAACCTTATATCAGGAAAATACAATTATATTGCTTATTGATCTCTGCCCTTTGGCATTTTTGTCCATGAAAATCTACTGAAAGTTCTATAAAGTCATAGTGAGCTACATTTGTTGAGTGATTTGTTTGCAGCCTATCTACCATGGAGGAAATGCTGATACTGTGATAAATTTTCTGTCAGCCCCAAAAATGTATGAAACAATCTGATCTTTTAAAGTTCCTAGGTTGATTTCAACATAGCCTATCTACGAATGAGAGCAAATTGAAATATAACTTATTGCTGATTGTCACATATTCAGAAGTTTAAGGGCTCCAGGACTGTTGGTTAGCTAGATTAATCATTGGTGATTTTTTATATAAATATATACAATTACAATAGGAGGCAACATGGTGCCAATGAATAGTAAATTGGTATTTCTAAAAGGTTATTTTACTTTCAAAAAATTAAGTAGAAAGGTGACCTAGACTAAAACAAGTTGCCACTCCCTATTTTTATTCACAAAAACACCCTTGAAGTCTATGTGGGTATCCCAAATATTCTTAAAAACCAAAATAGTTGCAGGTGACTGATTTCTGTCTTGTGCATACATAATATCCCTCCCCCATGTTCTGAAGATTGGGGTTGCTTTATTTGTAAGAACATCCACAAAATTCTCTGTTAATTCCAAATACATTCATTGATCCAAAAAGTTAGGCAAACACAATCCACAGAGAAGCACTTCATTTCCATTTTAAAACGCATTTCACTTGAGAGATCAATTTAAGAAAATCAGATAGAGCCTTAAGCTTATTAAGACCTTATTTATAATTATACAGTCACAGAATGACCCAAAACCAAAGGAATTCATCTCAGGATAAGCTAGATTGAATGGAGGGAAGTAATCCATCTGATTTGAAAGAAAATAAATATGTCGTATAAATTTCAAATAAATAAATAATAAAATATTATTCTTCTTTCTATTGGAGAAACTTGTAATGCTGCCATTTTTTTTCTCTAAATGCTCCCATTGTTGTTTTTTTCACTGCCATTTGGATTCCTCTAAGCAGGACTGGCAACTTATAGCCTTAATTCAATAATATTATTGAATAATACAGAATATTTTTTCTGTAATTTCCAGAGCCTCTTCTAACCGTGGTGTCAAATTATAATACTGTACAGCAAGCACTAGATGTAGACAGCATTGTTTCATTTCATTTCTTAATAATGAAAAAAGAAACAAACCTGTAATGTACACCTAAAAGAGAGTGCAAAAAAAAACCAAAACAAAAATACCAACTCATCCAAAAATTATTCTGAAACCCTGAAAGATTTTGTGTCTTGATTTTGACATGGTGCTTTATCATCCTAGCCTTGCCCCCTTCTGTTGCAAGTTAAGTGTGGCTGCTGATCACTCAGAGTGTTAAATTTGCACTTCAGTTATTATAATGTGCTTGGGTAGGCTATATATTCTAGAAAATGTCCAGATAAGAGGATTCAGACATCCAATAGGTCAAACTTTCCCAAGCAAGTTTCCTCAGATTAATAAAAAGTTGTTCCAAAACAATATTTGCATCAGAACTCTTCACATTTTTTATCAAAATCAGAGAACAATCACTTCTTAGTATTCTGTCTGCAGACAGCGTAATAATTCAAAATCAGAGAAGGCAGCGTTGTAGGTGAAGGAATTTTGCTAAGGAAAAAGAAAATGCTGGAGGTTTTTGGTTATCGGCTATCCCCAGATCAAAATGGCAAAAGAATGTGGCCAAGTACCTCTTTCCTCTTCTCGGCTCCTTAAACTGCTTTTGCTGAAATCTTCTTCCATGTCTGCAAATTATCCAGCCTTATCATTCAATGCATTTCTTGTTGTGAGCAGACTGAACAAGGAACAAGGAAGTAGAATACAAGGCTGGGCATGGATTAAAGGTTCTCCCAGGCAATATGCCCCAACGTTGTAACTAGGCAACCAATATCTTAGAGTCCTGCAAACATGCATAGTTATACAGCTTTCACTTTAATGCATTTCTTTTGAAAAGTCTAGCAGCTTCAGGAATGAAAGTATGAACAAGTGGTATGCAGTATCAATCTACCCATCCCTCTTATGAATATATTTTCTTTCTGTTTTCTGTGTCCTCACATTCTTGAGTCCAGAGTGAAACATTGTTGGGTTGTGGGGATTGTGTGTTAAGCAACCCAGAGGCTTTGATAAGAAAAGCATTAAATATCGTTCAAAATATTGCACATAATCCACCTATCAACCTATGACCAGCCAGATGGAGAATCCGATCAATTCAGCTTCCTAAATAAGTGGTTATGTCAGCTTTCAGGAAAAAGCCTTTAAAAAAAAGCCAATGCAGTCCTAGGCTACATCACAGAGGGTTTCTACCAGGGCTTTTTTTCTCATAGAACGCCCAGAACGGAGTTCCGGCACCTTTTTTGGATGGAACCTTATAGGGTAGGCGAGGCGGGTTGTATGACGTGTGTGAGTTCCAGCACCTTTTCTTTTTTTTTTTTTAAGAAAAAAAGCACTGGTTACTACCACTTTATACTGCCTTGGTAAGACTACACCTGGAATACTGCATCCTGTTTTGGTCACCGTGATACCAAAAAGATGTTGATACTCTAGAATAAGTGCAGAGAAGAGCAACAAGGATGATTAGAGGACTGGAGGCTAAAACATAATAATGAACAGTTGCAGGAACTAGGCATGTCTAGTTTAATGAAGAGAAAGGCTTAAGAGTAGTCTTCCAATATTTGAGGGGCTGTCACAGAGAAGAGGGGATTGACTTATTCTCCAAAGCACCAGAGGGCCGGACAAGAAGTAATGGGTGGAAACTTGTTAAAGAGAGGCCCATCCTAGAAGGAGAAATTTCCTGTCAGTGAGAACAATTAATCAGTGGAACAGCTTGCCTCCAGAAGTTGTAGGTGCTCCATTACGTGGGCTTTTCAAGAAGAAACCAGACAACCATTTATCTGGAATGGCAGAGGGTCTCCTGCTTCAGCAGGGGGTCAGACTAGAAGACCCGTTACTGTTAGGATGAAAGATCTGAGCAGGGTGGGTTTCGTCTGCGCGAGACCAAAAATGCAATGAATATTGGCATTGATTTACTGAATGAAGCAGTGAATTGATATAGCTGAAGGAAATAAGGATTGGTTTGTAAGTGTAAGATTGTTTTACATTACAGATGACGGTTAGCTCTTCGGAAAGAAGTCACCTGAAATTCAGTAAGGAACAAGAGACCGCTCTTCTCAATGTGGTGACCTGCTTAATGAACTGAATGATTTACAAGTATAATTCCATATTTGATTACTGTCATAAGCTGAGGACGATGTGTATTGTCTGTTTCTCTTTTCTTTCTCTTTTTTTCTTTTCCCTGCATCTTCTGAATTTTTCTTTTCTTTTTCCTTCTAGTTTAGTTTGTATTATTTTTACTATGTTTACTAAAATCTTCAGAAAATAATTTTCATAAAAAAGAACATCAAAAATCACTATGTTGAAGAAAAGTTGGAGATGGGCTGTCCCCTCAGGCCAGGCTGTTAGTAGAACCCCTTATATGAGGTTTAATTGAAAGATAATCTTTTAGGGGTCTTGGCTACATTGTATTGCCATTTTTATAATGGTCTGTGTTTTTATGGGTTTTTTGTAGCCACCAAGAATCACAAGGCTAAGATGGGCAACTATATAAAATCTATAATTAAGGATGTTATCTGAATAATATTTTTTTTGGGTTGGAAAATTAAAACCCACCTTTCTCAATTTCCAATCAATGTATGTATGTGTGTATTCAGGTTATAAGTCTGAATATATGTAAATATGTAGTCTTTCCACCTTACCACCTCATTAGCAAACAAATAATTTTGTGGTATAATCTTTTTGCTGTAGCAGTTTCTATCCCTTCCCAGAATGCTTTTTGACCAAAAATGATTTAGAGGTTTTTGAGATCCTAAAAGCTTTTGAACATTTGTTTCATCATTGATCAAGTGTGAATCAATATCACACAAAATAAGAACATACATAGACAACATTCTTTTCTTCTACTGTTTCTCATAATAGGGCATATGGTAGGTGGCTTAACATTTTAATCATTAGAATATTTTATAAACTCATATCATACAGAAAAAAAATCTTATTTTCTTCTACTGGTTTCAATATATATGCTAATTTTTTGTTAAGTGACAAAGAGAGTATACTATCATACCATTTTTTTCTTAAGTGCTCCTATTAGACCCACGAGTATTTTTTATTACAAATCCAGTAGCTATTAATAAAATACTGTTTTTTACATATTTGTATTCGTATCAGAAAATAATGACAAAAGTCTCAGATGTTTTCTATATTTTTATTAGTAATTAATGCATTCTCTAGAAATGTCATATCCCCAAATAAACAGCCCTGTGCACTTATTTTAATTATGTATTAAATTTTAACAGTGAGATGGTAGTAACAATCTAAAATATCTCAAGGACTTTTTTTTCTGAAAAGCTATAAAAGAAAAGGAATGGGTTTTCCCATATACAATTTCATTTATCTTGAGATATTGCTGTTTTAAAAATCTAATTTCCATATGTTTTTCAAAAAGAGTATCTCTCCAACGAACAATTGCCATAAAGGTGTATAATTTTCTTGCTTCGGGGAATATCCTTTTGTACCATTAATTTTTACACATGAATTCAAATTCTCTAAATTGTCTATTAAAGTGAATTAAAAATCCCTAATTTTTCAGGGGAGCCTCAATCTACATCCACTATAACCAGTTTAATGCAGTTCCTAATATAAGCTTTATAAGTTCACCCAATTCTATGATAACTCTGGGAGCTTATAGAAATGAAAATTATACAGAAACTATATAATAAAAGAGGAAAAAACTATTCACATCTGGAAGAGAAAAAACATCTAGTCTTACATAATCCTGTAAGAGTCTTGCCATTCCTTCTCACCCAAGACCTGAGAAAAATACAAATGGTTTTAATTGCGTTTTAAATGAAGTCAAATTAGAAGCCATCAGCTTTCTATGAGAATGTTGTTAGAAAAGATAGGTGCCGAAATAGAGACAGTACACTACCTGGGTTTGCTCAGGTGACATTGTTTAACCCAAGGGAGGAAGAGCATGCCAATTCTGTCTGATTGTTAAGGATGGGAAGAGGCAACAGAGAGATATGCTTCCTCAAATAACTAGGTCCTGCTTGGTGGCATCTAGCATTGCACCCAAAAGCTGAGTGGTGACAGGCCCCAAAACCAAGAAAGACATGTGGTGATTCTTTCAAGCTGAGTTCTTCATTGTTTCAGACCTATAGACAGAATCTTGCCAAACTGAAGCACTCCACCATCTGCACCTACTCTGCATATACTCTGAGAACTATTAGGAAGGGGCTGTTTTCACCCTCTTTCTCTCATGCAAAATATCTGGACTGAGTTGCGTTTTATTCCTCTGGAATGCTCCCTTTCCCACCTGGGAATCCAGCCTACTATATGGAACTAATAAACACCTGATGGGATTGCCCAATCAGAAATCAATTCTGAGCAAATCCAAGCCGTTTTATCTGCCAGAGAATATTCCTCACAGTAGCCTGCAGATGAACCTATAGCTCATCTGCCCTGCCAAAAGGACCTTAAAGAGAGCCACCAGATGGCTGCATCTAAAAACAGAATTAATAACTGCATTTTGCCACTGTTATCATCACCGCAATATAACACTAAAAGTCAACTCTTACTCCTGTTCTTCAATTTCAACTTTATAAAACAAAACAGAATTTACATAAAAACCTTTTATGTCAGCTAGTCCTTTTTCTTTCCCGCCAACACAGTCTCATTTTGTATTTATTAAAAAATGCAGGGTGAACAAGTATTTGTTCATTCATCCACTGTCATAACTTCAAATGGCCATTAAATGAATGACTGTAAGTTGAGGACTAACTGTATCTTAATATTGTATTTTCTGTATTCATTCACTCACTTTATAGGGCTATCCGTTTGCCAAGCAAATTTGGGTAGCTATTAAAGTTTTGAAAACAAGACTACAGATCTCACATAATTATAAAAGGTTCATGTAACATTCCATTCCACTGCCTGGAGGAAGAATCAGGTTTTCAAAGTGTTCTTACAAGCCAGCAGGGTCAGGGCCAGCCAGATCTTGGGGAGAAGGGGCGTTGTCTTACCTGAACGCCTTTTCTCAGTACGGAGATGGAGAATCCACCGGTGGGTTTTCATTGGATGCCTGCTCCTGAGACCAAGTAGCCAAACTTTGACACGCCCCCTGTTGCTGTGAGACCCAGTCTTATTGAGGGCGAAAGCGGCTAATGATGTACTAGGTATTGGCTCTCCTACCCCTAATAACGGCCTGACTGACCTAAGGGTGGGTGTGGATTCTCCATCTCCGTACTGAGAAAAGGCGTTCAGGTAAGACAACGCCCCTTCTCCAGTACAGGAAATGGAGAATCCACCGGTGGGACATACCAAAGCCTCACTGTCCCAATGGGCGGGAATCAGGTAAGGCCGAATCCGCGGTCCCCGCAATCACCTGTTGGAGTACCCTCCTACCAAAGGAGGCGTCAGCCGAGGCGAAGCGGTCAATTTTATAATGGCGCACGAATGGGGAAGGTGAAGACCATGTCGCAGCTCTGCAAACTTCCTCGATGGAGGCCTGAGTGGCCCACGCCGCAGATGTTGCAGCGCTGCGAGTGGAGTGCGCCGTGATACGATCTGGAACCGGCAGGGAGGAGGACTTATACGCCTCCGCGATGCAGGCCCTAATCCACCTGCCAATGGTGGAGGTGGACACCCTCTGTCCTAGAGAGGACGGACAAAACGAGATGAAAAGGGCCTCAGACTTCCTAAAGGGTGCTGTGCGTTTGATGTAGCGCTTTAG